AATTTTCATTTTAATAAGTACTTTTAGTGAAGGTAATTAGATGGCTATATTCTTATAACTTTCCCAAAGTCCTTATTAAGCAAAAGTGCATGCACATATACGTTTTATTCACTTAAATATCAAGTAGTTATTAATGTACTAAATAAATGCAAAGGTTAATACTGTCTGCTTAATGCTTAAAATTTTCACTGCAAGAAAAACTTCATTTCTCAACCTTATACTTGTTGGCAATAAAATTCCATATTCACAAAGTGAATAAATGAAATAGACACAACTAAAAATAAATGTATTAAATAGAATTGATATAAGTGAGGAGCTGTGGAGTATAGAAGATGCAGAATCAAAGTGAACAAAGATAACTGCTTAACTGTATTGATGTTGGGCCATAGTAAGGCTGATAATGACTGACTTTACAGAAAGAGATAGGATAGGAAATAAATGAATTCTTTCTCAAACTCCACCCCCCAAAAAAACTTATGTCAACTGAAATAATTGTTGTGAAACATGCCAAGTTTAGGGAAAGAAATTTATTAAAGAGGCTATTCAGAACCAAACTTAGGGTCCTACTTAGTTTGGAAGTGACTAGTCCCTGTTCTCCATCACAGTTTTTGATTTATATAGGTAAGTTACTTACAGAGAAAGAATACATAATTATTTAACAAAGGAGAGAAGACATCTAGCTAATTTTCTAACATTTTCAGTTAACTAAAGAGTCTGATTTCTAACAAACAACTGGTTAAAGAAAAACACTGTTCATAACTTTAAAGCAATCCCTTGGATTTACAGTCAGTTTAGTCAGAGAGATCTGTTTAGGAAGATGTAAGGACCCAAAATTATTTGAATCTTATTCTAAAAGTACCATTGCAGAAGTGGTACCATTATTCTAAAAAGTACCACTGCAGAAGGCCCATTATTTCATATTCTTTCCTACAACTGTCAGACATGACAGGCCTCTGTGAACATTCCTTTGTTTCTTACTCCAGGGATTTTCAGTGAATGAGAATCGATGTCTACAAACTCCATCTTCTGGAAATGACCCTGGAAGAGTGAAGGTAGACATTTTCCAACAGAATTTTCTTTTCACAGTGCACTTATTTTACTTTTAAATGAGAAATTCTAACACAGGCGCATTTCTTGATAGTTTAAGACCTGTGCCCAATACGTAGCCACTCCGGGGCCAAGAGAGAAAACTTTCAATGTGTAGCCTAAAACAGCATACAGGATGCACCAACTTTTTTTTTTTTTTTTTTAATTTATTTATGCATACAAGAACGGGGATACAGGCCAGAGAGAGGTGCGAGGGGTGAGAGGATTCACACCAGAGATGAAGTGGGGAGCAGAAAAGGCAGACTGACTGAAATACACTGCTGAGTGGAGCAGGGGGTGAGTCAGGAGAGGTCTGCTGCACCATATGGGTAGTTCCTGGGCCAAGGAATCTAACTGGTGCTGCAGCATGATGCTGCTGAGTTGCTTCATAGGTTGTGTGTTAAACCCTTGTGTGCACCAGGGAGGCCCAAGATGCACCAACTTTTTATAAATCAACTAGTACAGAAACCACACCCACTGAAGCTAAGCCTTTCCAAATCTATTAGTATCAATGTGCTTAACTGTGGGAAATTTTTTTTTTTCAAGTAATATATACACTACAACAGCAGTAACACTTGTTTTAGCACTACTGGATTCTTTCCCCCCCCAAAAAAAAAAAAAAAAAAAGAAGTACTATAAAAATTTAGGAGTAAACGCTCTAGAGCAAGGCTGCTTGGGAACACATTCCTCCTCTTCCAGTAACTACTCACGTTCTAACCCTTCCTCCGACTCAGTTTGCTCATCTGTAAAATGAGAACGCAACACACGTTCATAGAGTTGGTGTGGAGGATTTTTGAACATATTCAAACCCAGGCTGGTGCAAATTGGTAACAAATCTACTACGGTGCCAAACTTTCCCCCATAGCTGTCCAGCCATTGAGCGCTACGGCTCTTTAGAAGTGCGGCGAACACCTATTGTCCAGCACCGCGTACCCGCGACTATACCAATTTCCCGCCCAGAAGTGCTCAACGCTGCACCGTCGTCCCTCTGCACTTGGAAACGAGATGAAAAAGCCCGCCAAGGTCAGAGCCTGCGCGGGGCGGAGCCCGAACGCGACCCACAGATCTCAGAAGCCTGGCGCCTCCCAAGCCCCAACAAAGCGCAGCTTCCATTCTGGGAGAAGCTGAGCCAACACCGAGAGATTCTGAGGCTTCTGACCCAGAAGAACACTTTCCAAAGAAGCCCCCGCCTCTGCCCGTCCGCCGCCCGACACACAGCAGTTAGCGCTGGGTGGAGGTGTGGGGGGAGCGCCCCGCCCTGGAGGAGGCGGGGTCTCCAAAACGTGGGCCGGGGCGGGGCGGGGCCTGCGACGCGCGGGGTCCTGCGGTTGCGATGCGGGGCTGTCCGAGATGTGCCGGACGCCGATCTCAACATTCGCCGCCTGCCTGTTTCGTCCTCAGGCACGTGCTGTGGCACTCTCGGAGCTTTCTTGGTCGCGACTCTCTTTTCTATCTCCCGTCTCTTTGATTGTGCGATACGAAAGAAAAATGGAACCCCCGTAAGCCAGGCATCTCGTAGGCACCCGCCGAAGAAACAGGCAAGGGACGTGGGGTCCTTTGCTCGCGCCGAAATTCAAAGAAATAAATAGTTCCGGCGCTGGTTCTGGACGCGGGCGAGTGTTGCTGCGGCTATGGTGGAATTTGCTTCCTAGCGCCCGGGGTTGGGCAGCGTTGTGGGCTCTCCGCCCCGGTGACCAGGGCCTTTCTTGTGAGCCTCAGGCCCGGGCAGCTTGGCGCGGCGGGGAGGCAGGTGCGTGCGCGCGGCCTGTTGGGCCTAGCCTGGCACTTGTGGCGGGAGTCGGGTGGGGGCGGGGGGAGAAAAGCACGGAGTGACCTAGGCTGGAATTAGCCTCAAGGGTTCCAGGCAGGACAAGTAGTTTTTCTGCAGCCTTGGAGTCGGGCGAAGAAGTGTTGGCTGAAAGGTGTGGTTAGGCGAGGAAATAGCTGTGAGTAAAAGCAGGAAACTGAAGGATATCTGGAATTTATTTAATAAATATTCGCTGACCCCTCTTACCCTGCATAAAGGTGTGGAGGTTGGCGAAGAACCTAGAGGAACTTACACTATAAATTGGGGAGACCTATCTTAGTGTGTGTTAATGCAAGGAAGGAAATAGAAATCAGTGAGGGGGTGGGTAGAGGTGTCTTTTTATATAGGGCGGTCAGGAAGCATCACAGCAAGATGACGTTTGAGCAGACCTAAGTGCAGTAGAGTAAGCCTGCCTGTATTTGGGAGAAGCATGTGATGGAAAGAGGGAATGAAATGTAAAAAAAAAAAATCAGTAGTCTGTATTAGGTGGGATATGGTAAACAGGGAAAGAGAAGCCTGGAGGCCTAAGTAGTTCACTGCCAGGTTGAATTAATGGTTTAATTAACTGGTGGTCCCCAGGAAAGGGGAGTTTCCCTGTTACAGTACTAACTTGTCTGTTTTTAAAATGGAGAAAGGTATCTTTATATCCGAATAAATAGCTCGGCAGGTGGGTATTTTATTTCTATTAAACCGTCATTCTTATGTTTTAGTCTTTTGCATTCCAGGTTTACATTCCGCTTATGTGTTGTTTCTGTTTTGTACAGAACTCCTGTGACCTGTTTGATTCTTAGTAGAAACTGACTTATCCGGCCCAGTAGGAAAAAATGCATATTAAGTCAATCATTCTTGAAGGATTCAAGTCCTACGCTCAGAGGACTGAAGTCAATGGTTTTGACCCCCTCTTCAATGCCATCACTGGTTTAAATGGTAGTGGAAAATCCAACATATTGGACTCCATCTGCTTTTTGCTGGGTATCTCTAATCTGTCACAGGTAAAGTATAAGCTTTCTGAAAAACTTCAGTTTAAGCTTGACGGGAATCCTCTTTGAACTTGGAGATTATTGTCAGTATTTTCTATTCATTTACCCTTTTCACTTTATGATCTCATGCATCACTGCAGTCCTTTAAAGGTGAGCATTACTCCATTTTGGGGGTGAGAAAGTAGAAACTTATCGAAGGTTCATTCTCTTAAGATGTTTGAAGCATCACTCAACCTAACACATTCTCCCTTTAAAAGTCAGTCTCATTCCAGAATCCAGCATTATATTGTCTTTTTAAAGTCTACTGAAATTGAATGAATAGGCATTGCGGTTATTCAAATGAACGTTTGTTAAGAAACAAATGGAAAACAATTCAGGGTTCAGAAATCCAATGGAGAAAGGTGCCAATTGCAGATAGTTACCTCTTCTCCTTACTTGCTTTGCCAGAGACTGTGACAGCCTTTCTTTAGCTGCTTAATGAGTACCACATAGGTGGTTTTCCAACAGCAAGAATCTTTACTGATGTTTAGTGCAGTATGGGGTTTTGTAATTGATAAACTGTTCCTTTATTTTAGGTTCGTGCCTCTAATTTACAAGATTTAGTTTACAAAAATGGGCAAGCTGGTATTACCAAAGCCTCAGTGTCAATCACTTTTGATAATTCTGACAAAAAGCAAAGTCCTTTAGGATTTGAAGTTCATGATGAAATTACAGTAACAAGGCAGGTGAGTGGTTATTAAATGTTTGGATACTTAAGAATTGGTGTCTGTTGTGTTTTTTGGCAGTATGACTCTGCTGAGTAAAACAAAATTCCTTAAAAATATCCTTCTTCTGTTAAAATTTTGATCAAGAATATTTCACTATTAGCCAAGAGAATTGAAAGGGATGTGAAAACTAATGCTTCTAGGATAAGCACTTAACTATTCTTAAATCTTGAACCAAACTTAAATTTTCCATCTGTGCTAGATCAACTCTAGCTCTTGGAATCTTGTTATCTCTGAGGTAACCCAATTTGTTTTTTTCCGGTCTAATTATAAGCTTATTATAGTGTAGTGATATACATGTGAGTGAGTAGGTGTAATCTTATGCCTCTGAATCACATACAGTATTGTAAACCAGTATTATTTAAAATACCAAAACACATATGCACACAGTTATTCCTGTAAATTGAGCCAAAATGCCATCCTTAAGTTTCACACATTGAAGTAAATCTAATTTCATATTTTAAAATTTATTTTTTAATATTTTATTTTATATAATTCTTACATCATTTTTCATCTTTGCACAATGTGTGCATTTTCATTATGGTTATATTTCCCATACAGTTGCACCCTCCCCCTTATTTTGACTCTAGTCCTTCCTCTCCCTGTCCCTCCCCCTAATCTTTCAAGTACTCACGTGTCTTATTAAAAATTTTAGAATCTTGTCAATGTTTAATACCACATTGCTTGCTTTTAGTTTTTAGTGTGTGACTTCTGTTCATTTGGAAATTAAAGAGATAGAGGGGTTAGTTAGCCTCTAAATGTAGAAAGAGGATAATCGGGGGTAGATAATTTATATATACTTGGAAACGTGAAGCTAGAAGTGACCTAGAGACCTAGTCCAATGCAGGTGAGGTTGGGAAGTTTGAAGGTGATTGCCTAAATAGTTAGGAAAGGTCCCTGGATTAGAAGCCAGTTGTCCTGAAGCAATTTCATGTATTTTGGGCCATGTAACTTCCTCCACTATTGACTTGGGGTTGGTTTTATTTACCGTTAATTGGGCAGAACCAAAAAATAATATATTTGGTAATTTATTGTCTTAGCTCAATATGTGTGTCTTCATTTATACCTTAAAACTTCCCCTTCTAGGTGGTTTTGGCGGCAGAAATAAATATTTAATCAATGGAGTAAATGCAAACAATACCAGAGTACAGGATCTGTTCTGTTCTGTTGGCCTTAATGTTAACAACCCACACTTTCTCATCATGCAGGTATTTCATTTCACTTTTATTATGGTTTTGATACCTTTTTTTTGTAGTTATTACAATAAGAAGTGCTTGTTTCCCCTTTAAATATATTTACTCTTGTGTTTGGGCACTGTTAAGAAATGTGGGTTAGTTATTTGTACTGATAAATTCTAACATGTTGTATACATCTGAATGGTGAAGAATGTATGGAAATAATCTTGACTACTTTGTTACAAGAACAGTACATGCTCATTGTAAAGACTAAAAATTATCACACTGTCCTTTTTTAAAGTATTGGATTACAGCTATACTTTAAATCTTTTTATTTAAAGTATTTCAAATCTTTATTAAACTTTCAATCTTTAATAAAGATTTGAAGCCATTTAAAGTTTAATAAAGATTTGAAACCATTTAAAGTTTAATAAACTTTAAATGGTTTTCTTCTTTAGAAGTTTGTGCAAATGAAAAATAAAGGCTAATGTCATTTTGTACTTACATTATCTCACTTGCCTCATTCAGCTGTCTTTTGAGAGAATCAAAGCAAAATCATCTGTAGGTTTCTAATGAGACCAAAGTAAAAATATTTTCACTATATTACAGTTTGAAAGCCGAAAATTTACTTCAAATGAAATCGGAATCCTTAGAAATATGATTTTCTGAGTGTTGGGTAGCAGGTTCTTTGAATGGGGGATTGTTTATTTGTTTCATTGGTATTGAATGCGTTTTATGACTTTCTGGCATATTGAAATGAAACATTTTACCATTCTATGTGAGACCCAGAAATACTATGTTAGAAATTACTTTGAAGGACTGTCATTTAAAGAAATCAAGAAATGTTAAATAGTAATATTAAGATTTATGTCTACACTTAACTTTTGGAATTAGATGCTTCTATCTTAAGATACCTGTTTTCAGAAATATGGTAAGAGTTAACTTTGTATCATTTAATAACATATAATTTCTATTACTGGTAAATAAGAAAATGAACAGCAAAGTTTTGGAATTCTAGAATTATGAAGTACCTTTGGTCTCAAATCTAAGCAGAGAAAAATCTCATATAGGTAGACTAAAGTATGCCCAAAAGATTGTTTTATATTAGTAAACAACAGATTCAGGGAAGATAAACATATATGACTTTGTTTTACTTCTGTAATTTATTATCATGATAGTAAGTTTGACATTTTATTTTCAGGGCCGAATTACAAAAGTATTGAATATGAAACCTCCAGAGGTAAGAATGCTATTCTTATTTTAATCTTGTAGGTAATCAGTTATTTTACATAATTTCTTTCATTAAAATTCTTGGAAGCATTGTTTAGGCATGATTAGTCAAGAAAGTAGTTTAGTTTTGTTGGGGTTTTTTAATTCAGCGATGCCTAATTTTATGTGTGTGTGTGATGTACATCATCACCCTTCTGAGCTTTAGTATCCTCATCCATAAATTGAAGTCAGTGTCCTTATGCTAGGTTTGTTGTGAAGTTTAAATGCGAATGTTTAAAGGTTTGGGACATTGTTAAGCAGATTGTTAAAAATTGAGATGTAATTAACATATAACATTATATTAGTTTTAGGTATACAACATAATGACTTGAAATTTGTAAATATTGCAAATTGGTCACCATAGTAAGTCTAACATCCATTATTACACTCTTCGCAACTTTTAGTATCTATTATATATAATATATATTACACTATTTTAATTTTAACTATAGTCACCATGCGATATATTATATCTTTAGGACTTTTTGTTTTTTAGTAGAAAGTTTGTACTTTTTGACACTTGTGCCCATTTCATCCACTTTCTGTCATCCTTACTTCTGGCAACCCCACCAATTTGTTCTCTGTATCTGTGAGTTCAGTTTTTGTTTGCTTTCATATTCACATATAAGTGAGACCATAGAAATTTGTTTTTCTGTCTGACTTATTTCAGTTAGTATAAGATCCCCAGAGTCCGTCAGTGCTATCACAGTGGAAAGATTTCCTTTTAATTTATGGCTTAGTAGTAGTTCATGGTGAATATGTATCATATTTTCTTTATCCTAGTTCATGGTGAATATGTATCATATTTTCTTTATCCATCCATGGAAATAAAGGTTGCTTGCATGTTTTGGCTATTGTAAATAATGCTGCATGGAGCATTGGGTGCACCTGTCCTTTCAACTTAATGTTTTTGCCTTTTTGACAGTGCAATTACTAGTTTTAAATTTTTGAGGCACCTCCATACTGTGAAACATAGTGGCTGTACCTGAAACATTCTTTTAAGCAGTATGCAAAGGGCTATTTTCTTTACACTTGTTTTTTCCTGCCTTTTTTGTTTGTTTTTTAAGAACAGCCATCCAAACTTGTAAAGTGATAATCCATTGTATTTTAACTTAACACTTGCCTGGTGATTAGAGATGTGTTACACCCTTTTCATCTACCTGTTTGCCATCTATATGTCTTTGGAGAAATCTATTTAGATCCTCTTTCCTTTTTGTATTGGATTTTTGCTTTGTTTTTTTTCCCTGTTGAGTTGTATGAAGTCTTAAAAAAAAATTTAAGTCTTTCTATTTTGGATATTAACCCCTTGCCAGATATATGATTTGCAAATAGTTTCTTCATTTCATAGGTTGCCTTTTTCTTTTGTCTATGGATTTTTTTCCGTTATGTTTTGTTTCCTTTGCTGTTCAGAGTGTTTTAATTTGATGTAGTTTTTGGTGCGTGAGATTTAAAAATTGTCACAGTGACTGATGTCAAGGAACTTGACACATTTAGGTTTTCTCCTAGGAGTTTTGTGTGCCCAGTATTAGAAATTTGGATTTTATAAAGTGACCTTTGTCGAGCAGTGTTCCATATCAGAGTTAAACTATAGAAAAAGATTTGAATGAAACTAAATTACATACAATGCGCTTCTTGGGGTTTTAGTGTTTGTTTTCCTCTTGCAAAGATGTTACATGAAGGAAATGGGATATGAAGGAATGAATGTTTTATACAACAAAGACTAGCTATTCTTTTCAATAGAGAAGAGATTAAAAAGACTAATAATTCACATATTCACTCTGGTGTGAACAAAGGTCATAAATTAATTTTTAGACATCTTAAGGGAAAACTTCTAATTTGAAAACTATCAATACATAGAAATCAAGGGGTTTTCAGAGAAATAATCCTTGAGATAGAGATTGATAGAATATAGATACTTCTGAAAAAGGAATGCTAGCAGGATTTTCCATATAATGTTAATATTTACCATTTTGAGAGTGCTTTTCAAAGGATTTTTTTTAATTCTTTTTTTGAAAGATTTATTTATTTTTGCATATAAGAACTGGGGTACAGGGCAGAGGTGCGGGAGTGAGAGGATTCACCAGAGACAGAGTGAGGGGCAGAACAGACAGATTGACTGGAATTCACTGCTGAGGGGAGCAGTGGGTGAGACGGGAGAGGTCTTCTGAGCCACGTGGGTCAGCTCCCAGGCAGGGTATTAAACTAGTGCTGCAGATAGCTTCATAATACTGTGTCTTAACCCTTGCTCCACCAGGGAGGGTCATTTCTGTATTTTGGATATTAACCCCTTGCCAGATATGATTTACAAATAGTTTCTTCATTTTATAGGTTGCCTTTTTCTTTGTGTATGCATTTTTTGTTGTTGTTCTGTTTCCTTTGCTGTTCAGAACATTTTAAATTGATGTTGTTTTTGGTGTGAGATTTAAAAATCATCACAATGACAGATGTCAAGGAGCTCACCACACTGATTTTCTCCCAGGTTTTTATGTGCCCAATATTAGAAATTTGGAGTTTATAAAGTAATCTTTGTCAACCAGTGTTCCACATCAGTTAAGCTGCAGAAAATGATTTGAATGAAAATTACATACAGTGCACTACTTAGGGTTTTGGTGCTTATTTTCTTCTTGCAAAGAGGTTGTATAAAGGGAATGTGGTATGAAGGAATGAATGTTTTGTACAAGAACAAAGACTAGTTTTTCTTCTCAATAGAGAAGACCTAAATAGACTGATAATTCACATATTCACTCTGGTTTGAACATAGGTTATAAATTAATCTTTTTTAATAATTTTTTTAATTTTTTAAGACATTGTTCATTTTTAAACAATATTTGCTTCCCACCCCCTCAGGTGTAGTCCCCATAGAATTTCCTTCACCAGTGCACCCGTGTACCATAACCTCAGTCCCCTGTGTTCCTACCTCTGATTCCTGTCCCTCTGCCTCCTCTGCAGTATGTCTCTGATTTATAATTGTCTGTTTTTGCTTTGTTGTATTTTGTACTGTTAGTATTTTTTTTACACTGATGTCTTAACTTGGTTAAGACATAGTGCTGAAACTATGTGAAACTATCCGATATCTTTCTTTTTCTTCCTGGCTTATTTCACTGAGCATAATTTCTTCTAGCTCCATCCACCTTGCTGTGAATGGCATGAGTTTATCTTTTTTGATGGCTGAATAATATTCCATTGTGTATATATACCACATCTTTCTGATCCAATCATCTATGTTTGGGCATTTGGGTTGTTTCCAAGTGTTGCCTGTTTGTAAATAATGCTGCAATAAGCATAGGGGTAAAGGTGTTCTTTTGGATTAATGTTTTTGTGTCTTTTGGGTAGATCCCTTGGAGTGGAACTGCCTAGTCACATGGTAGCTCCATTTTTAGTAGACTGAGGAACCTCCAGACAGCTTTCCATAGTGGTTGGACAAGTTTGCACTTCCACCAGCAATGTAGGAGAGTTCCTTTTCACCACATCCTCGCCAACATTTGTTGTTTTTGATACGTGCCATTCTTACTAGTGTAAGATGGTATCTCAATGTGGTTTTGATTTGCATTTCCCTGATGTTCCTGGATGTTGAACATTTTTCATATGCCTGTTGGCCATTTGCATTTACTCTTTGGAGAAATGTCTTTTAAGTTCTTCTGCCCATTTCTTGACTGGATTGTGTACTTTGTTTTGTTGAGCCATGTGAGTTCTTTGTATATCTTTGTGATCAGTTGCATGGATTGCAAAATTTTTTTCCCAGTCAGTGGGGTGTCTCTCTGTTTTGGTTAATGTCTCTTTTGCTGTGCAGAAGCTTTTCAGTTTGATGTAATCCCAGGCGTTTATCTTTTCCTTGACTTTCTTTGCTTTGGGTGATGAGTCTTTAAAGATGTTACTGGGATGTATGTCTTGTAGTGTTTTACCTATATTTTCTTCTATGTATTTTGGTTTTAGGTCTTATGTCCAGTTCTTTTATCCATTCTGAGTTGATTTTTGTGCATGATGAGAGATAGTAGTCTAGTTTCATTTTTTTGCACGTGGTAATTCAGTTTTCCCAACACCATTTATTGAACAAACTGTCGATGTTCCATTGCATATTCTTTGCTCCTTTGTCAAAGATTAGTTGTCCATATAAGTGTGGCTTTATATCTGGGCGCTCTATTCGGTTCCATGGGTCTTTGTGTCTGTTTTTGTCCCAGTACCAAACTGTTTTAATTATTAAGGCTTTGTAATTTTAATTATTAAGGCTTGAAGTTTGGAAGTGTGATACCTCCTTTCCCCTTTGTTTTTTCATCAGTAGGGCTTTGTTTGGCTATTCACATTTTTTGTGGTTCCATATGAATTTCATCAATATTTGTTCTATTTCTTTGAAGAATGTCATTGTGATTTTTTATTGGAATAGCATTGAATCTGTAAATTGCTTTTGGTAGAATGGCCATTTTAATAATGTTAATTCTTCCAATCCATGAGCAGGGGATGTCTTTCCATTTCTTTGTCTTTTATTTCTTTTAACAGTGTTTTATCATTTTCTTTGTATAGGTCTTTCACCTCTTTTGTTAGCTTTATTCCCAAGTATTTGATTTTTTTGTTTGAATTATAAAAGGGATGGTTTCTTGATTTCTTCTTCAGCTTTATGTGTATAGGAAGGATACTGATTTTTGTGTGTTGATTTTGTATCCTGCTACTTTACTAAACTGGTTGATTATTTTCAGGAGTTTTTCTGTGGAGTTTTTAGGGTTCTCTATGTATATTATCATATTATCTGCAAATAGTGATAGTTGTACTTCTTCTTTCCCTGTTTGGATTCCTTGTATGTCTTTTTCTTGTTTTATTGCTCTAGCTAGGACCTCCAGTATTATATTGAAGATCACTGGTGAGAGAGGACATCCTTGTCTTCTTCCTGATCTTAAAGGAAAGGCCTTCAGTTTTTCACCATTGAAAATAATATTGGCAGTGGGTTTGTTGTATATGGCTTTTATCATGTTAAGGTAT